AATAGGTCACCTCCTCTCCTGCCTTCACCCCAGCGTGCCACTGGTCACATCATTGGCTCTAGGCAGACAACTCTAGTCCTACACCACATTTTCTGGCTCTAGGGGACATGCTTTCTCAACACGGGGGCCTGTTGACAACTCGGTACTGTAGCCTATGGCCCTAGTAGGCTGGCCTGGGATATTAGGATAGAACACACATTGGTGGCAGAAACCTGCTGATTCAAGGAGCTCTGAGGTCGGGATTCAATAAACCCCTGAAGAACACTTCATCACTTCACTGGTTCCATAGCTCAGAGGAATCAGGTTTTGTTTAGCTGTGAGCACAAGGAAGAAATTTCAAAGGCCTGGGTAAACTAGGAACAAGTGTTATGGGACTTACAGCACTACAGGGAATCCCACAGCCAAGTTCATAGGGCAGCTGAGGCAGGGGCAATTGTCTTACAGGTAGCAAGCAGTAGTAAGCATGGTGGGCACTGGAAGCACCACCTTGATGGGGACACACCCCAGAAAGTGAGTCCTTACAGAACAGGGTGATAAATGAAAGTGACCAGATTCATCCTCTGGATTTCTATTTCGTGTTAGCCTGCCCACAGGCTGCTCCTGCAGGTTCCAACTGTGCCTGGGTGGTGTCCTTTTAAGTACACAGAAGAGGTCTGTGCCTGCCCAGAAGCTCTAAGCTCAGCCCTCAGATAATGCTGGGTCATCATTGTGACACTAGGGTCTTTGTCCATGTCTACAGTGATGGGTACAACAGCAGTGGTCTTAAGTGGACACTCAGAAAGGGTCCTCCCTACCCCTAATCTTTCCTGTCAATGTCACTAACTGGCCAGTGGATGTGACCCGGCTCTTCCTAGTGCTTCCAGCAGAGGGAGCCCAAATCTCACGAGTGAAAAGGGCTGATGTGCTGATGGGTCCCTGGGAGGGGTTTGACATGGGATCTTCCTTAAATCTAGCCCTAATTCAGACAATAAGATTTGTGTCCACCACTACTATCCTTCAAGGGAAACCTGTGATGCCCATCCCAAGAGGCAGTCGGTTCTCTTCAGGAACTGAGGTAGAAGAGAAGCCAGATTTCTCTATAACCAGGCTCCACTAACTGCTCCCTCACACTGTTCACGCCCACCCAGCCTGCTAAGGGGCTAGGCTGGGGAGACAAAACGCAGCTATGGAACAGTGCTCTTCCAGGCCCAGCTGAGAACACGGGTGCCAGGCCTTTGACTTCCAGTTTTGTCCCCTTCCTTGAAAGGACAACTTTCTGGGACCAGGGAGATAGCTCAGTAGCTTTTAAGCACCTGCCTAGCAAGCGCAAGGTCCTGAGTCGATCCCTAGTACTGCGGGGACGGTCATACAGGCCAACTTTCTGGAGGCAGGTGTGGTGGCAGGAGAGACTGAGGCAGGATGATCACCATGAGTTCAAAGCCAGTCTAGGCTACAAAGTGAGTTTAAGGCAAGCCTAAATAACATAGCAAGATCCTGTCTCAAATAAATAAATAAATAAATAAATAAATAAATAATAAAAATCAAACAAGGGCCAGCCTGATAGCTCAGTGGACTAAAGCACCTGCTTAGGCAGAGCACAGCAGCCAGGGTTCAATCCCCAGCGTGCTGTGCTGGTCCCACTGCAGGGCACACGGAGACAGCAACTGAGACTGGGCATGGTGGTGCGCACCTGTAATCCCAGCACTTGGGAGGCTGAAAACAGAAGCATCACTAGGAATCCAATTTACATAGTGAGACCCTGGACCCTGTTCTAAATATAGGAAAAAAAAAAAAAAAGACAGGATAGCTTTTTGGACAAACACCCCCCATCCCCACCCCACTTTGCTGCTTGCCATGACTGCAACCCCCAAAGTGTTTTTTTCCAAGCCCTGTCCTTTGCACTGTCCCTGGCAGGGTCCAACAAGGGTCCCAAGTGCTAGAGGGCAAATTCTGCCTCGAGGTGAGATCTGACTAGCTCTCACAAGGCCCCAGGCAACCGTGTGATTTTAACAAGCCACCTCAAACCTGCTTCGTTATCAGCCAAAATGGGCTAGTTCTTGGCTTATTTACTCCACTGGGCTGTTAAAAGATGAAACAAGATAATGTTTGTAGAAATTGTTTGAGGAAGTATAAAGCTTTGCAAGCACATAAGACCAGAACTAGTCTCTGAGCTTGAGCCACAGGGATCAGAGGAAGGCGGTGTGAAGTCTTTCCCTAAAACTTTCTGCCTGTGTCCCCCAAATATCCTGGACTAAGGACAGGCTGGCTGCTGCTTTTCCCAATAAAATGACCACCCCTCAAAAAAAAAAAAAAAAAAAAAA